TATATATAATATACTAAAAATTTTCTAACTTTTGAATGATAATATTATGTGTCTTACATTTTGGGCTTATTGTGCTTATAAGTATAATTTGTCCTTGTTATATTAATATATTTGCTAGATAACAAAGCTGAAATGATACTTATTACATGTGTAAAAATGGAAAGTATCCGTTGTTTCATGTCCAGTTCCACAACTCACAGTTAATTCTTAAGGTTCAATTTGTTTCTTATCTCTTTCCAATTCTAGAATTGGAAAGAGACAATGAATAAGTTGAATCTCAGTTAAGAGCTAACCATAAGTTGTAGAGTTTCAATGATTTAAAGTATGAATGTATATACTATATCTTGCATTATGCGTTAAACATATATATCAAATTTTTATATAAATATTATATATAGTTTATCTTACATGTACTTCATTTTATAATACAAAAATGTACATGTTTATATACAAGAATAGTATTGTATATATAAAGAATAACTTAAAGTTTTCCATACCTTTTTCTTGTATACTTGTTTCATAAGTAACATTGTCAACTAAGTTTATGGCTTCATCCAATTTATTTATCGTGGAATCATTGATCACCTCTTCTGCAAATTACTTATTAATTGGTTACATATTAAGTACAAAAAACAAAAAAGAAGATAAAACATGTTTTTACGTAAAACTTTAGTTTGTTGTAAGGCATGCTTTAAGCAGCTTTTACGTTCCCTGGGAGATCTTGTATTGGTGGAATTTTTGCCGTTAAACATTTTGATGAAATATTTAGAGTTTCTGTGTGTACACCTTCCAACGAGAAACAATAGCTTATGTTCTATAAATCAAAATAAGAATGTACTTTAACAATTATATATAATAAAAAAAAATCAATATATCTTTTCGAGTATACATTAACAATTTTAATAATAGAATTAAGTTTTACATTGTCACTCCTATTACCACCAAGCATTAAAAATGCCAGCAGCACACCACAGTATAACCAGTAGCGACAAACTCACGAAAAAATGCGAAAATGTGGGTCCGCGCAAATATGACTACGCAGATTTTGTTTTGAGCCGGATCCAATGAAATGCAAGATGACAGTATTCCCCTGTTACAGTCGAACGACAGGGGAATATTCGACTGTAGTTGGTTGGGTCTTACATTCGGATTCGGATTAAACCCTCGATAAACTAAGCCATTGGCTGCGTTCAGCGGATTCAACAGTTGAGTGAGCGCTTGCTATTATTGGTGTATTCTTTTAGATCATCCAATCAGCGTTTTAGATCTGAAAGAATACATCAATAGCAGCGAGCGCTCACTCAATTGTTAAGTCCGCTGAATGCAGCCATTGATAGTTATCGACTCAGCGTCGGTAAGTCAAGACGCTACTGTGACCTAGCGAAATAATGTACTTACAAGTTTCTATATATTGCTACAAGAGATATTAGAGCGCTAGTGGAGCTTCAGGCGTTCATTTTCATAAAAGAGCCGAGATGATCGCTCTCAGGTTTTTCTTTAAGGAAAGGCTGTGGTTTCTCTCTTTCTTTTTTTGATATAATTGATTTGTCAGATTACACTAATTGGTGATTGTGCGTTATTTGCACGTGATAATGGCTTCCGCAGTGTTTAATATGTCTGGCACCAGTAAGTGCGTTAAGGTCAGTAGAATTTTGCAAGCATGTATAATCTTATCGCAATAGATACCGCAATGGATTAACAATACTTGAAAATGACAATCGTACTGTTTGGAATTT